TCCTTAACAGCAACCCAGATGAGCGATACGATCAGAGTTCAGCATGTGTGTGCGGGCTGTCATGGCCAAGACCCTCGAACTGCAGCAAAAAAAACCACCATTGATAATAGTAGTAACAACAATAATCATCATCATGATCGTAATAGTACTAGGAATCATAATGGTATTAACTGTAATATACGGATGGCCGCCAGGTCACCATTGAGACGACAGACTGAACACTAAATCTGTGGCTTCAACTCTCTCAAGGCCGAAACCACGTGAACTGGGTGTTTCCCCTTGTGGGGCGGAAATCGCTAAAACTCATTGAGTGGCGGGAGTCCCCATAATTCATGAGGATTATCTGATTCTGAGAGGCGAGATGTAGAGAATGACGGACGTAGATGGTGAGAGGAATGAGTGGCGAGTACTGCAAGTGGTGAGACTTGTAAGTGCGCCGGTGGGTGATTGCATGAACGAGTAACACGTGATTCACTGTGGTGGGTGAATGGTCCATTCAAGAGTTTGTGAAAAGAAGGCGAGAATGAAAGGCTGAGAGCGAGACAGCGAATATCCGACAATCGGTAAGTGGATCCACCCAGTGCCGTGACTGGATGTCATGACGAAACTCCCTGGTGCTTAGTAGGGANNTATAGTAGTCCCTATACAATCCCTAATAACAGTCCCTATAATCCATTCCCCCATTCCCTCTTAAGCACCAGGGAGGAAAGGTCGCGAGTAAGTGAGCTACAGAAGCGGAGTCATTGCAGTAAGCGCGGAATGACAATGAGGGGCTGGGTGAGAGGGTACGTTTTCTGAGCGTTTGAGTGCGAGCTGAATGTGTGGAGTGAGCGGGTGAGCGAATGGATGGATAAGTAACCCTAGGAATCCAAATAGCCCAATGTAGGTAATATTTACAGACTTTGGGGCCCAATCTATTTTATTCATATATATATATATACTTGGATCTCTAGGGTAAGCGAGGGAGTGAGGAAGTGTCGGAGTGGAGAGGGGTGGAGCGAGTGATTGGTGAACTGCTATATAGGTATTATATAGGGGTTAGTTATAATAGGGATAATGGAAAAGAAAATAGAAACTACAGGGATTATATTGGGGTTACATAGGGATTATAGGGTATATATTAGGGTTATATTGACTAAAAATCCGGCATGACCCTGGGTACTCAAACAATGGGAATTATGGTAGTATAGTATACTAGGGGCATACAGGATTTATCAACCGTTTTTCCAAAAATGGCTGGCGTATCAATTCAAACCCCTCTCACCGCCCGCCCCCTGACCCATCCCCTTCCAAAGCTTTGGCTTTGTCTGTGAACTTCTTAGTAAAGGCCAGGACCCTGAGGGTTTAAAAGTTTAGGGTTCAAGGGTTTAGGGTTTTGGGCTGATGCTAGGAATGATGCGCTACTTTCTGGACCTCGCCTGCAGCTACTGCTAGATCGGGCGTTACATTAAGACACTACTGTTGTCCTAATTATGATGATTAGTAATACTAATACTACTGTTATCATGAGTATTTACATTCGTATTACTATCACTACTACATGTTTTTTAGTCTTATTACTATCACTGCTATATTTATTCGTATAACTATTATTGCCGTCGTTATCAATATTATGAGTATTACAACTAATATCTTTATTCGTATTATTATTGTCATTATCGTTATTACCATCATTACTATTATTATCTCTATTAGTCCCCAAACCCTTAACCCTAAACTCTAAACCCTAAACCCCAAACCCTAAACTATTATTATCACTATTCTGATTGTTGGCAGGGTCACTCGTTCAGGTCGGTCCCTTGCAGCGCGGCGGCCTGAGTCTTCAGGACTGACGCCAGGGTGTGGGACTGCACTTACTGGGGTTAGTAAGAGTAAGGGCATATGTACCTATATATGTGGGATTTAGGGTTGAGGGGTTTAAGGTTTTAGGGTTTAGGGTTTAAGGTTTCTAGGGCTTCTTAGCAATAAGGATATATGTTACGGAGGGATTGTTGAGGGGTTGCATTCCCTTATTCCCGATTATCCACCAACAAGTTACAGGGCTGCAGCACTACACCAGGAGTCACAGCCAAGCCCATGTACTCAAAACGTCAATGGAAAGCGCGACTAGTAGCTGGCTTCCAACAGCTCTGACACAAATCGCCTTCAGCCTACCCAGAAACAAGTTGCTGAGATCAGGTCATGCGCCGCAGCACTTGTGTCCAGTCCAGCCTCAGCGCAGGCGAAGCTAAAAAAGATCTATGAACAATGGGGCATGCCCAAGGGTCTGCATGCACAACGCCCATGGACCATGTGAAGATCACGACTATGACCTATGGTCTTGGCAGGAAGTGAACGACAGAAATGGCTTGATGATACCCTTCCTCCATGGGATTTGGATTTTCCTGAGAGCTGTGCTAGCCCTGGAATCGGGGGTGCACCAGCCAGGGATGCCAGGCCCTTCCCAGGTCAGACTGTGCCCTTTTGCCTCTTGTGGACATGACATAGCACCACCAGGGATCACTAACGCTTTCATGATTCAAAACGCAATCCGTAGCCACGATGAGCACGAGAGCACCCTGCTACTTGGACCCGCACACGGCCTAGCAATAGCGCGACATAGACGTTCATATGGTAATTTCCCTAAATAAGGGAACCCCAATATAGACCCCAAAATATTATAGTCCTTATTATTGGGACCCCCAAAATGGTACCCCTAATTTTGGGAAACCCCCATATTGAAAAGACCATGACATCATGATGCACCTACTCAAACCCGAAATTTGCCGGAGCAAGTCCACAAGCATGCAAGGCGTGCCCCCAAAGGTGGTGGCGCAGTTGCACCAGGTAGACCTTGAGATGAGGCCGGCTGTGCCATGGAACCAAAGACTACTCACTAAGGAGATCCATTTCTATCTTGTGAGTAGCTGTTAAGGAACTGAAATTAAGGTACTATAAAAAGGAGATCCTGCTATTTACCTCATACCCCACATTATGGGAGCGCATACTAAGTTCCTGAACAGCAACCCAGGCTTTCCGATTCAGGGCATTACGCTGGGTTTTGAGCCCCCTAAACCTTTGCACAGGGCTCCCCTAAGCTACGAGTGATCGGGGGCAAGAGATTCGCAGCTCTTGAAGCTGCTGTTCATGCAGCAAAACTTAGGTCGAACACCCACCCTGTAATAGTGCCTTTAAGGGACAATGGTGACTATATTAGGGTTCTCTTATATTTGTCTTCCACCACTGTTACCTCTAAACCCTAAACCTTATATGCCCCTATATTGTATAAACTCTATATATAAGCCCCTATACAAACCCTACATAAACCCTACATAGTCCCCATATAAACCAGCTATATAAGCCCTATATAAACCCTATCTAAGCCGTATATATATATATATATCCCATATATAAACCCTACATAAACCCTACATACCTATATAGACCCCATATGAACCGTATGTAGACCCATATAAACGCTATATAACACCTGTATAAACCCTTTCCCGTTTAAACGGATATGCGGTAAGGGTCCGCCCCCAGCATAACGCAATCCAAGCCTCCGAGGCCGGCAGCCAAGCCGGCAGGCGTCACGAGGCCCTCGGGCGGTTTAGGGTTTAGGGTTCAGGACTTGGAGGTTTTGGATTTGGGGGTTAGTAGCATTCCAGGAAGTTGAGACGGAGCTTGGAGTACACTACCTGAAGGCAAGGACTGGCAAGGATCCGTGGCTTGTGATCATGGCCAAGCAAGCAGGAGAGCAGAGAGGTAGGGCAACGGCAGTCAGAGGTCGGGCATTGTCAAGCACAGGCAAGGTAAGCAACAATGCACTGACAGTGACGGTACACACACAGCATATATTAGGGTTATGGAAGCTTGTGCTTCAGCAGCTAGAGTTGAGGAGCCAATGCTATACCATGGTTGCTTTGCGACGAGTAGGCCGTAAGCCTCAAAACGCTATGCTGTTTGATCTGCATAAACACACATGCTGCTACCCATTCACTCTCCTGTTGGGCAATCAACACCCTAAACCATAAGCCCTAAAGCAGGCGAAATGGCAGTTCAAGCACCATAGTCCAACCCACGATCCCCGAGGACCCCAAAGAATGGACCACAACATCTTGCATTCCTTATCTTACTGGTAGTTGGTAGGGAATAAGGGACATAGTATATAGGCATTATGTTGACTTATTCCCCGCGGACCACCAGTAAGTGATTGCGGCTGGTACTAAAAATCCTGCATGACCCTGAATACCTTATGCCTGGAGAAGTATGGTACTATAGTACATTCAGGTCATATGGGATTTTTCATAAAAATGAAAGTACCATCAAAAGGAAACCCTATCATCCCTAAACCCTAAACCCTAAACCCCTAAACACTAAACCCTAAACCCCTAAACCCCTAAACCCTAAATCCTAAACCCTACTATGGTAACTTCAATTAAACTGCTCATCCTAGGAAGGCGACCCTGCAGCCCTGGGCCCTCCGGCAGGCGGCAGGGCCATGCCAGGCGGTCGTGCTGCTGCAGCCGTAGCTGCTGCCGCCTCACTTAAAAAAACGTAGATAGGCATATTCTAACTATTTTCCTACTATCGTCATGAGTAGGTATGCCCATCGTTAA